CTTTGTTGTCCCAAGATGTGTGGTCCCTGCTAGTTTGTAACATCTACTTCCTGTTTATGATAGCCATGTGTAACGTCAACGTCTGACAAAATTAGTTTTGCACAGCCTTGTTAATGCACTCCAAACCAGTAGGTGGAAACACGTTTAATTTGCATTTCTTTTCTTGTTTTGTTTTCTTATTTTGTGCACATTTTAAAAGTTTGCTCAAAATTTATATTACAGTTGGATGGAAACATTGCTATTGATGTGTAGCATCCATATTCTGTAAACACAGCATGCTATGTGTGACATCACATCATATTCTGTGCATGTAGCTTGTTTCAGGACTGGAAACTGTTTTTATGTGAATGAAGACCTGCACTGTAAATGGAGAGTTGAATGTAGAGCTGGGTAAAAAAATTGATTTTATTGATCTTGGATTGAATTAATTTAAATTTGGGAAAATTGATTCACAGGACATGAGATCGATTCTTCCCCATGGCGTCTTGTACGCAAGTCTGAGGCGCGTTTCTATATTTTGTCATTCCTGGTTTGCCGTATATTTACATCCAGTTGACATTCAGTGCTAACATTAGCTTTCGATAGCAAGTTGTCTGGAGCAAAACAAAAGAAACTGAGGAATCACTAACGTTACCAGCCGACTCTCCACAGAACCTAAAGGTAACAGAGACCATGATGACTTTTGTTAGCAAAGATTTGCGCTTCTACGTGGTAGTGAAAACGAAACGGGGTTTGACAAGCGGCTCGTTAGGTGCTCAAACCAAACTGCTGTATGTAAACATCTGACTGAACTGTTCTCCACCGGCATGTTTAAATGTGTTAAAGATGCCATTCTAACAAAATCGTTTGGCTTTGTTACCAATATTATTATTGTTAAACTTTAAGAACCATCTTAATGATCCACAGTGATGAAATTTTGTAGTTGTATTGTNGACGTTAACTTTAGATCACAGTTTGAAATGCTCCAGCATTTTTAAAAAGAAAAACAACGAGGACACACTGATTACAGTGCGGGGCGAAAGTGAAAGTAAAACATGGTGGTGCGCACCCATTCGGAAAAGAAACAGCTGTTGTTTCTCCCCTCATATTCCGACACAGAGGGTAGAAACAGCTAAATTAGATAGTTAAAACACATTTACAGTTATAACTCACCCTTGTTGTAACATTCATCCTGTGTTGTCCGCAAGCCCTTTCCGCCCTGTTGTGGGTCCATTTCCTTGAAAAATAAAACTTAACCAGGCACTTTGAATAAGCTCCGACGCTGATAGCCTATGTAGATTAATCATATGAGTTCACACACCCCAGAACCGAACATTTTGACTTCTGGACTTGCATAGTCGGCATGACGCTATGGACTACAAAATCACACAGCGAGGAAAAAAATGGCGGACTATGAAATCCAGGTGGCCGGAAATACATTACCATAAATGGTAGTTCCGAAGAAAAAATTGTGACGAAATAAACAATGAAACGAAATAAGCAACAGCAGATTTTGAACAAACTGAAGAATCTGACCCATAAAATAATATAAAAATATCTTTGCAGTAACTGGACAGAATAAATTAATGTTTTCTACACTCCTAGACACTATAATTGCACAAAAATAATTTATAAATGCAAAAAAAGTGCATTTAGCATGATATGTCTCCTTTAAGCTTTTCTGGAGGATGACATTCAGGGAAAAAATGTCCTGATTTGTTAGACTGAATTGCACCACAGCAGGTTATATCTGCACCCACCTGCTAGAGGAAAACTATTTTGTTTCTGAGGTTTTCTTTTTGAATGATTGTGACTAATATCTAATATACATTTAATGCCATGAGTGAACCAAATAAGATCTTTGATACTTTTTTTATAATTACATATAATTAATATGGTTCACAATTCTTTGCTGGAGTAGGCAGGATGAGACAAAAAAGTTCAAATATTTTCTGACATAGCGAACATTTACCACACATGACTGATCAGCTGTTTCCGCTTTCTGCATCTTCCTGGATATTCCCATAAGAATTACATTTCTTTCTTTATTGCTCCGGACAACATGTCACATCGCCAATACTAGTTAATATGACAGAACAATTACAACTAGCCTAGGGCTGGGTGGTATGACCTCAAATTCATATCACAGTATAAATTGAATCCCTTCACGGTAGTGGTATATATCGCGGTAGAAAACTATCACAAAAAGTAAAGATAATGTAATTTTTAGAGTTTTTTTTGCAGAAAACTAATCTTAATCAAAGCCAGCATTTTTGCTTTAATATCAGCCTGCCATACAGTGAGCTTCTGCCTGCTGAACTTATCAGCTGCTGCGCTCTCATCTTCATCGCTGCACGCTCATCTTCATCATCAGAGCAGAAGCCGACTTTACATTAGCAAGATGGATTTGTGACTGAATGAATGTCCACGTCTTTTTTTATCATCTCTGTGGGTAAAAATACATAAAAACAAGTTTTTTTTCTCCGACAACTTGGGTGTGTAAAAACTCCGGTTGTTAAAGCTTTGCTCTGTGCGACGTGCAGCGGGAGAGGGATTTATTGTCTTTACGCGTTTTAAAACGCTATAATTTCTTCGTTTTATTTTGAACTCCTCCTGCTCAGTTGTCTCTGCACTCGCAGCCCTGTTCACACAGGTGCGATGACGTAACTGAAGACAGGACGGTAGAGGGTAAATTTCTACCGTAGGCCAACTTCATATAGTTTCTACTGTCTACCGCTTATACCGCGCAGCCCTAAACTAGCCCCATAGCAACACATTCCTGAAAACTTCTCTTTGTTGTCCCAAGATGTGTGGTCCCTGCTAGTTTGTAACATCTACTTCCTGTTTATGATAGCCNATAGATTTATATTTATTTATTTTTTCTGAACAATGAAAAGATGGAATAAAAACAAGTCAAAGTGAAATAGAAATAAAAGACTTTTTGCATTTTTAAAAAGTAAGTTGTAGAAAGTACAGATAATTGAATTAAAATGTAAGGAGTAGAAGTAAAAAGTACGCAGAAAAATAATTACTCCACTAAAGTACAAATAACCAAAATTTCTACTTAAGTAAAGTAACAAAGTATTTGTACTTAGTTACTTTACACCTCTGGCCCCAGGGCAGCTGTGGCTACAATTGTAGTTTGCCATCATCAGTGTGTGAATGTGTGTGTGCATTGGTGAATGTCTGTAGTGTGGAGTGCTTTGAGTGTCCTGGATGGACAGAAAGGTGCTATATTGTCCATTTACCATTTACCATATCAGCATTTTTGCATGGACTCATTACAGAATTTTTAAAATATATACTTAATGCTCTGAGACATGAAATAAATTTGATGCTGAGTTTTTGAAAAACTTTTGAGATTTGTGCGAATGGTGGAAATCTGTGCAATTTACGGACAGTTTGTACAAACTGACAAACCCCAATTTGTTTAATTTATTGTTGGAGTGATATTAAAATAATAAAACATAAAAATAAATCATTTGATATTCTTAATGCTTTTTCATCTTTGGACCTATAAGTGGAGCTAAAGGAGCCCTGCCTTTGCAGAAACATGATTGTAGTCCTGTATGTCCCTATATTGGCCCTTTAAATGATTTAAAAGGGAAAAAATATATAGCTCTTTGAACAGCCACACAACTTTGCTAATGTTTTGTTTATACCTAGAAAAATAAAATAACAGAGAAAAAATGTAAGGGATGTAAGTAACTTTGTACTTGAATGCGAGACATGAAGGACTTGACAAAAGGAGAGACTTAGCAGATTTTCCACTCTCTCATACATCAAATTGTAAGTTTTACTGCAAAATTCTGGCAACAGCAGGTATTTTACCATAAATATCWCATTTTTACTACACTGTATCACATGTGGTCATCATAGTCATGTGATACGGTGAAATTCTAGATGCCAGTAAATTACTGTAATTTTCCTTTTTAAATAAATGTGTTTTACAGTTGCATTGTCTTTGTTTTTACTGAAAGGCTTTTAGATTTGGATACAGATATATCTTTGCAGATTAGAGTGTTGTGAGCTTTCATATAATTATTCAKTTGGATTAAGATCTTGACTGTTGGCTGGCATTGATGCACCATTTTTGAAGAAAAGTTCAGCATCATTGTTCTAAAGCTTACCAAGACATATGTTAACATTTCACTGCATCTACTGGCTTCCCTGGTGCTTTACTTGATAAGCAACCCTAATGTTATCAATTGCTGCACAAATTAACTTATATTTGTATTTCCATCGTTTTTGCTTCTATAGACATTGCTGTTTTTCTTCAGTCCACCTTAATTTTTTTAAATTTATTTATTTAAATAAGATTAGAGAAAACTAGATGTTCACAATTTACAATTTCTTCCAGTGTTTATTCATTTTCTTTAAAACATTGACTCCTACTATGACACATTTGTTGATCTATATTTTATTTTTTAATTTCAAGACATAATTTCCATTTTCTTGACATCTTTGTTGGAGTTCTTGAATGATTTSTATTTACAGCCTTTACATTTTTGTTTGTACTTTCGTTTTATTTTGAACATGYCAGAGAACAAAACTTTTGCCACACTCATTCTGTAATTTTTTTCAATTGTTTAAACTGGGGTTTTTTTTTTTTTTAGAGCCACGCTTTCTGTCAATCAGCCAGGTGCATCATGTTTGAATGATTCCTTAATTGTTTCCTTCACTTGATGGGAGAAAAAAAATGCCATTAATTAGGCTAGAATAAATTATTTTAACTTTTCAGGGTTTGTTTTTTTTTAAAGCAAGTGTGTACAACTATTACAAAATGCTTCATTGCATTATTTTTATTTTATTTCATGATGTGTGTTGTCTTTCCGTCAAGGTAAATATTATAACGATGTATTATTGTAACTATTTTAGTGTTGTGACATTTTTAAAACAATTTTTACTACAATTAAATCATTTCACTGTTATTTAAAATCTTATTTTATCATACATTTTAAATTCAAGCATGTTTTAAAGGAGGTTAATACCCAATATATGATCGTCCTTTTTCAGGAGGAGCATAACAAAATAAAAGTACATCCGGTTTTACCGGAAACACGTGACCCGGATGTTCTCCTGTTTCCGCGGGTCTTTCAGGACAACAACACACAACTCTGCGCAACACTGTGAGCAAAAATGGCGGGTAAGAAGCAAAATATTTCAAGSCTTTAATTATTTTGTTTTTACCGGAATACATTTCAGCCACGGATGAAAGTTAGCGCTGCTCCAGACCGACTTATGTTGCTACGTTAGCTTGTAATATCTGTGAAACATCTTAAACGAGCTGACTGGTCATAGCATCATGCAGCTAAGGCCCTGCAGCTGCTGTGTGCTAATGTTTCTATCTGATTGTCATGACATGTGTGTGTTTGTGTGTGCAACGCTTARACTTCACTGTGGGAGTGAATATGTTAATAAAAGGCAGGAATTAAGGGCGATTGACGCTATGAAACGCTGCTTGCCCATGCTGTATCCTCACTGTTCATAAGTAATCTGTGCATTCTGTCATAAATTTTGTTTTCATCAAGAGAACGACCACTGATGAATACTTGCTCAAGATGTGAAAACACTAACTGGAAAATTACATCAAAAGCCAGTAATAAAAGAATCAAGGGGGAGTTTATATTAAATTAATGTTGATAATATTAGGCAAACATGTTTAYTTTAATTTTGGAAACCCAGTTGCAGTGTATAGGTTTGATAATATATGAGGTAATTTATTTTTGTTGGTTCGTTTAATAAGTCAGATCTGTATGATATTTTCTATACCAATTTGGTCCTGTTTGGCGTGCACAGTGTTTATCTACTGAGATCATAAATCTATCACAGGATAAAATGAAATATCAGATAAGACGATTCCCTTTTATGACTTGTTTATTTTATCAGCAGGAAATGAAAGTTAATTAAAGAAAAGTGCCAAATCCCAGCACATGGGAATCATAAACCATCAAATGTGTGAACTTGACCTAAAATCAGAAAATTGTGATTACTCATGACAGATGCACATTCATTCTCTAAGTCTATTTTTAAAACTACATTTGAAAGTGGTACTTGAATAGCTATGTAATTATTGCATTAATTGTTTGTGTTTTATGGTTTGTCCTCAGACGTAAACCAAATGGAGAAGAAACTGGCTGAATACAAGTGTGACACCAATGAAGCAGTCTGCCTGAAGCTAGGTGGGTGATTTATTTTTATTTTTTTAATATGTGATAAACATGACTGTTGAAACGAGTGTGTGTATATGAACACGTCAACATTTTTCTCAGTAAATATATTACTAGAGGTGCTAATGATATAAAAATTTCACCAGATGTCGGTAACAACCCAAG